GATTACAGGTTTGGTTGATAAAGGTAATAGGGTTGATGTAATAGTTTTCTGTAAGGGGTCTGACTTGGTACTGCTTGATATTTTGATTCAAAGACTAGAAAAATATAAAATTGACATGGCACACATTAAATGGATTAAAAGCTGGCTAACTGCCAGATCTCAAAATGTAATTGTAAATGGGGACTCTTCACTGAGTGGCTGTGTATCTAGTAGGGTACCATAGGGATTGGTTTTTGGCCCTTTGCCTTTTTATCAGTGACGTGGAAGAAAACATAAAATAGGTATCTGGGACACTTTGTAGATGACACAGAGTTTGGGAGAGTGGTAAATAATGAGGAGGACAGGTCCCTGGTACAGAGCGATCGGGATCGCATGGTAAGCTGGGTGCAAGCAAACGATATGCATTTTAATACATCCATATGTAAGGTTGTAATCAGCTGAACATGAGCTCCCGGGAAGACGCTGTGGCCAAAAGGGCTGATGTGGTCCTTGGATGTATGAGCAGGGCAATCGTGAGTATTCCTCTGTATCTGGCAGTGGTGCTACCACTCCTGCAATGCTGTGTGTAGTTTTGGTGTCCGCTTTGCACGCTGAGGATTGACAAGTCAGAGAGGAGCCATTAGAATGATGACGGGATTAGCAAACCTGCCGTGTACGGAAAGACTCAGGGAGCTCCAGCCATTCAGCTTAAAAGCTGCAGTTTCTAGGTCCCTACATGGGGAACAGAAATTTGGTAATACAGGGCTCTTCAGTCTAGCAGACAGAGACCTCACGAGAGCCAACGGCTGGAAGCTGAAGCTGGACAGGTTTAGACTAGAAAGAAATTACAGATTTATAACTGCGAAGGTAATTAACCAGTCGAACAACTTACCCAGGCTTGCTCCATCACTGGCCATTTTTAAAATCCAGAGCCAATGTGATTCTAAAAGAGCTGCAGTAGTTCAGATAGGAAGTAATGGAAGGCCGTCCTATGGGCTGTGCTATGCAGATCAGACTACGTGATGATATTGGTCCCTTCTGGCTTTGTCATCTCGAAATCGTATGTATTTAAATCAGTCCCATATTATCCTGCCATTCCAGAGAAGCCCTACAATAACAAACCAGCATGTGCTGCCCATCCCTCAGGAGACATCCTCTACTAAACCCCCTTCTGCGGCTGCAATGTGTGCATTGTCGATTCCCACAAACAACGAACCCGTGTGCAAGCGTCGCATGGAAGGGAACAAACATTGTGGGAAGGAAGCAGGTTTCAGTTGCAGTCTTTCAGATGCAACTATTCTTACAGTCAGTAAAGGGACTGTTCTCCTTAAAGAATATTGCTAATGGAAGAAAACAAACGTACTCCATTTTTTTGTAGGTCCTGCAAATAAATATATCCACGCTTACAGGGACGCAGCCAATGAATGGCTAATAAAGTGAACCTGTTGGAGCCTGCACTGAATGGGATGTGTCAAAGCAGCCCCTGCCATGGGATTGCTGTGTATACGTCATTTGGAGACCCCAAAGTTCGTAGGACTACAGTGCGGCCCCTTCCCCCCACCCCTGCTTGCTCCACAGCCAGTAATAGGAGAGGCTGCACCGGGGTTGGGAGCAGACGGGCTCTGGGCTTTGGGAAGCTTTATGCAACTGGCAGTTATTTATAGAAACCTGAGAGCGGGGTGAGGGCCTGGGCAGCAATGCAGAGCAGGTGGGAGGCCCTCGGAAAGCGAATACCACAGCATACTCCAGCATTACTTCTGCATGGGGTGGTGGGCCCTTGCTGTAAGTAGCAAGAGGGGGAAAGGTTTCTCCTCTTGAGTCCTCACTGGGGGCAGTTACAGCTCTCAGTCCCCCCCTCCTGCGAAAGGAGCTCAGCATTTCCCCCTAGGCTGCAGTGACTGAGTGCAGCTGGCAAGGGCGGCTCTGATCCGTAGCAGGCTTCCCCTGCTGTTCAGCTGAGCCAACCGGCCACTCCTGCCTCTAGGCAGGACCCCCGAGACATTCCTAGGTGAAAGCGGGATGTTTCTTGTCTGCTTCTCATTTCCACCCCGGGGCAACAGCTGTCAGCAGCTCTGGGGCTGGGGACTCGCAGGGGGGCTAGTGCTGGCCTTCAGCCACAGGGAGAGGTGTAAATCAGCAAATTAAAGCCCCTCGAGTTTGCACTACTCGGACCCAATGGTGTTTTTCTGCACCTCTAGCCAACGCTCGTGGCCAGTCGCAGCGCACCCCTGGTGGGACGTTGAAGAGGCAGGTGTTGTGGGACCTTCTTCTGGGGCATGGGAAAGGGCCACTTTTAGAGGATTAAATCACAGCAGACTCATGCCAACTTGCCATCGTAAGCAGCCCACGAACAGCCACTACTGAGGAGTGGGGCGAGGGGCAAGTACGACAACGGACAAGGGGTCGTGGGCCAGCCAAGCTGCTCCCTTAGCGCACCTGGACTCTGCGTACCCAGGTGCAAATACCATCAGGGCAGCCGCCCTATGCCCTGGGCTCATGTGACTCCCACACCCATGTACACTGGCCGGGGGGATGGATAGAGCGTGTTCTGGCTTATGCTGAGTTCAGCTCACTGAGCAGGTGCAATGCTGGCCCAGGCCCTGGGGTGGCATTTGCAATGGTGAGTCCAGGGCAGTCCTGGCTGCAGACATCCACAGCGGCTCCGTTCCCATCGCAGCCTGCGGGAGGGTCAAAGGGTGGCGTGTTCTAAGCAGAGGCCCAGGAATGCCCAAGTTCTAGCCTCAGCGCCTCCAAAACTGAGCAACCTGCTCCACCTTGCCAAGCACTTGGGTGACGCGCTTCCCTACCTCAGTTTCCCCCCTTAGCAAAACCTAGCTGGGAATAGGTCGCCTACCCGAAGCAAGGCGAAGAAGAGCAATAAGTGGCTGATGGGGCAGGATCCAGTAGTCAAGAAAACCTCTTTATTTTACACATTGGCTTGTATTGCTTGTTTCCCTCCCCCCCCCCGTGTAGTGCAAAAATCGAGAAAAAAAACGAACAGAGAATTCCTCATAAATAAATCATAACTGACATAAATAAAAATGACATTTGGACGGGGGGGAGAATCAGTCGCCTCTCAGCTAGGCCAAGCGCATCCCTCCGCCAGGATGGGACTAGAGAATCCCCTTCCCCACCCGACCTTGGGGCAGGCTCTAGTGGGGCAGCAGGACATGCTCCCTGGACGACACACGGCAACCCATGCTGCCGCTCAGCCTTGTGCCCCTCCAGAAGGGAGCCTGCCGTTCAGCGACGCTGCCCTGCCGGGAATACCTCCCCGCGGCCGTTGTCTTATTAATAATGCTGTGTGTTAGTCAGAGCCCACGATGTCAAACGGGACAAGAAACGAATAGTTAACAGCAGCCCTGCCCACTCAAATTCTCTCTCTCTCTCTCTCTCTCTCTCTCTCTCACACACACACACTCTCTCTCTCTCTCTCTCTCTCCAGCCCTGGATTGTCACTCCTTGTGCCGGTGGCAGGCACCCTGCACCAGCGCTGTCGTCCCCTGCAGGCTGCTTTTCCAACCGGGGCCACGGCTTTTTCCATGACCAGCAAAGACTCCATTGGGTCTGAACTGCATCACAACCGGGGTAGAGCGACTGCACGCTCCACACCTGAGGCGCTGCTCCCTGCCCCGCCAGCCTATCCTCTCAGCTCCAAGCCCCCCGATTCAGATGAGTACAGTACTTAGCAGCAGCGTCCCCGTCACACCGCAGTATTGCTAGTGCCAGCTGGAGGGGATGGGGCCATTGGTTTCAAACCGGCAGCTACTGGATTAACCGAGGTCTACTTCCTTCCCTCAACAATGTCTTCCTGGCCCCTCCACTTCCCTTCCTCTGGCGCTAGCTGGTTCCCTCCCAGGGGGTGGGGAAGAGACTGGCCTATGGTGCCCTCACTCCCTCTGCCCTACTCATGGGCCACAGCAGAAACCCCAGGACTTCTGCCAAGTCATAGCGGCTGGCACCTCTGCAGCTCTGAAATGCCCATGGAGCTCTAGGCTCGCCTCTTGGGCTCCCTCCCTAGGATTCTCTTCTGCCTCCTTGGAAGGGAGCAAGGAGCAAGAGGTGGCGTGCACACAGACACAGACATACACACACACACACACACACACACACACACACGACTGCACCACTACTTTGGGTGAGACGGCGTCTTGTGACCTAGTTAACCCAAAACAGTGGCCACGAAATAGGTCGATGCTCTTGCCGTGCTAATAGGGAGCTCATTTCAATCGCGGGCTCGGGGGCGTCGGGACGTCAAAAGGGCATCGTCGGCCGCATACAGGAATGTGACAGCCGTTGAACTGCGGCTGGCTGCTTCAGGGACTTGGCAAAGGAGAGAGGAATGAAAAGATTTAAAATAGATTTAAAAGCCTACTTCAGCCCGAAAAGCCCAGAACATGTCTTTGGGTAGAGGGCGGGGAGAGCAGCCAGTGGCCCTTTCTAAAGTGTCTCAACCTGGGCACCAAAAAATCTCCAGTCACTTCCGGAGATATACGTCAGCGAGTATTTTCACACGTGGAATCTAAAGCATGATGAAGTGGGGAGGAGAGAGAATCAGGGGAAGAAAGGAAGAAAGAGAAAGAAACAGTCACAGAACATCCTCCCAGTGCTATTGAGGTATCAGTGGTTTAGCCATTCCTATGCACCATGGGGAACACTTGTTAACCTATCTTCATGCAAACCACACACACAACACGGCCTATGCAGTGAAACACATCTTAAGCCACCACTCAGGAGGCTCTGTGGTACAGGTGGGTCTATACGGCCAACCGTGAGCATTACAGTACAAGATGATTCAACCGTTTGAGTGGTAGTTTAAGACAGGGAGTTGCTAGCTGCAAATGGTCCCTTCTGTGCTGGTTTCACTGTACATATGGCCTCTCTCACACACTTACTTCTAGGCCATAGGCATTGTCCAATAGATCATTTAAAAAAATGCCGCTGGCTCGTTCCTTTCATCCCTTCCCACGTCGGCGGAGAGAACGGGATGGGATGGGGAACACCAGAATAATTTAAAAAAATAAAGTTAATAAGAATTAAAATTAAAAGATTAGCATCATAAATACAAATGGCAGACACATTAAATAAATAACACAGTGCGACCCTGCGGCCTGTGCCACCTGCCGGGTCGTACTGTTATAGGGAACCAAGGGCCTGGCCCAAGCCTAGATCCTTCTTTGTGGACAGGGAAGCAATGTGTAGGCTGGATTGTTCCCAGCCGCCGGGTTAACACAATGACACAGACACGTGTGCAGCGGGCGGCAGCGCAGTAATTTGTAACAGTGGGACGGCGACTGCCCCCGAGCCGGTGAGCTCGTTAAATCCATCTGGCCGGTGGGGAACCTCCGTAGTGATGGCAAATTGGGATTGACAGCGAGCGGGACGGGGTCAGCAGAGGATGGAGATGCCGGAGGGCTTGGGATGCTCCACACAGTTTTGTGGCCTTCTTCCCGCCGCATCCCCCGGCTGCGGTTTTTAAGGCATCGATCAGACACCCGTGCGCCAGTCTCGGCGGCATTAACAGTGCGCTGGAGGCTCAGTACAGAGAGTTTGGCTAAGGTAGCATTCCGAGGAGTGGTGGTACATTCAGCGGTTTCCTGGAGAAGCACCATACACGTGAGTCACCCACCCCCGGCGCTCCCATCCGCCTGGATCCTTCCTCGCGTGGCTGTCCAGCGTGCAGCACATGTTGGGGCATGGTAAATCTTAAAAGCAGCAATGGTTTCGGCTGGGCCTGGCCGGCCCCAAAAGTCAGTTGAGTCATGGGCAGGTTTGTGGATGGAGCCAAGAGCTCCCCCCGCCGTACACGCCGGCAGAGGGGACTCTTGAATGGAAAGTGCCATTCTGACTCTCAGCACGCTGATCTGAAGTGTGCACCAAGAGAGGCAGAGCCCCCGAGGGGCCCGCGGAATTGCAGTGGGCCGGGGCTGGAGGCAGCAGCCGGGACCCCCCCACTCCGGTCTACAGAGACTGGCTGCTACAGGGGTCAGGCCAGGGTGGCCTTGCGCTCCTCCATACGCTGGTGCCCCCTGGAGGTAAGGTACGACTGGATTCTTTGTCAAAGGCTCGTCGAGGACACGGAGAGGGTGGGCGAGGAGGGGGGCGGGAAGTTGAGCAGTTCCAGCACCGCCACCCCCACGCTGCTCCGCCGCGTGAACATGCACGAGGCCGCCACCCACTTGTTGGTGCGGGGGTTGTACTTCTCGATGGAGTTGAGGCTGGAGCTCCCGTCGTTCCCGCCCACCGCGTACAGCCACCCGTCCATGGCCACCAGGTCGTGGGTGCTCCTGCAAGCGACAGCACAGAGGACGGCGTTAATGAGCCAGGCTTTGGACGTCCCTCGGCAGATCCCCAACCAGGGTTGCGGGGGCTCGGCCCTCTGGAAGGCAGGCAGGAGTTGGGGACCCGAAAAGGGACGCATCAAAATCAGCAGAGCCTTTTGGCCTAAGTGATTTGCCCAGGGTCTCGTAGGGAGTCAGTGGGAAAGCCCGAAATAGAACCCAGGAATCCTGGTTCCCAGCCCCTGGTCCTAACCACAGTTTGGTCCGTAATTTAGGCTCCTAAATTACATTATTTGAAGGTGATCCCTCTGCTAGCTGCAGGAAGTGCCAAACACCTATGTTTAGAAGGCCGAGATACTTCCCCAGTGACCATGTCAAAGGCCATGTGCTTCCTGTATTAGGGATTGGCGAGCGGTAAGTCGGGAATCATTTATACCCATGTAGGATTGTTAGGGCAGCAAAGACTCTGCAGGTTGCCCCCGCTTGCTCATGCCTACGTGGTTCATGCAACAGGCACTGCTGATCATGCAGCATTGACAGGTGAGCACGCAGCATGGAGGTCCCTGACCTCCCAGCGGAGAGCTTCCCGGCTGCAGTGACAGCAGGCCAGCTTGCTCGGTCGGCCAAGCTATGCCTGGTCATTGCTGCACCTTGATGGCTGCAGAATGACGTGCTCCAATGAGTGATGGTTCTCTCCAACCCAAGAAATCCCCATGGCCGGTGTGACAGACTGGAGCACAGCCTGGGTCCGCCTCGGACCGGTCTCCCCAACTCCCCAGTTTAGATAGGAGCTGGAGAACGGGGAGGAGCCCTACCTCCGAATGTTCATGGGGGCCACGCTCTCCCAGGTGTTGGTTTTCGGGTTGTAGCGCTCCACGGAGTTAAGGCAGCTGGTGCCGTCGTTGCCGCCGGCCACATAGAGCATCCCTTCCAGCACGGCCACACCGGCGCTGCTCCGGCGGCTCAGCATGTTGGCGATCGGGGTCCATGTGTTGATCTTGGAGGAAAGGGGAGAAGCGCCCATGAGAGCACATCTGGGTTAGCGAGCGATACCCGCGGGCGATTATCCTCCCATCCCAGCCGTTCAATGGCGACACCACCATCCGGTCACACTCCAGACCCTGCTCTGCTCCCCGTTCGCAACTCTTAACACGACAGCCCTCCAGGAGGAAGGACCCCTGTAGGACCCACCACCCACATTCCAGCAGGGGGCACCAAAGAGTCGGCAGCTAAAGATAGCTCAGTGGTTTGCGCATTGGCCTACTAAACCCAGGGTTGTGAGTTCAATCCTTGAGGGGGCCACTTAGGGATCCGGGGCAAAATCAGTATTTGGTCCTGCTAGTGAAGGCAGGGGGCTGGACTTGATCACCTTTCAGGGTCCCTTCCCGCTCTATGAGATAGGTATATCTCCAAGCAAGTTCCGATGACCCCGGCCGAAAATCTGACCTTGGTTGCAGCAGGTTAAATTAGTCAGCCGCCAGCCATCCTGCCTGCTGTTATCAGATAAAGGGCAGAGGTGATGGAAGAGGCTTTTGAGGGAACACACAGGCCCCCCAAGGAGATGGCAGGAGGGGAGTTCTCCAGGAAATGGTTTTCTAGGCTGCACCGTTCCACCCCAATGCAGCTAGATCCAGCAATTATTCTTTGTTCACTAACACGAATACGTATGTCTCTCCGTGCCCCCCCTCCCCCCCTGCATGAGAAGCTTACAAACATTATCAGCCCAACTCTGTGCTCAGTTTTACGGGCACCCTCCTTTCCTAAAGCATCAAACACAAAACTGCTTTAAAATCAAGAAGAAAAAAAAATGTTTAAACCCCAGAGAATTCACACCTCTATTTATTTTAAAGAGACCTCTGCCGGCAGGTTCAAGCAACTTCAGCTGTTAACAACAGGACCCTGGTCTCCGGGTCCCTAAAATTTGGCTTAACTATCAGGAACTCGAGCTGCCCATCAACTCCAGGACAGAGCCCCAAAGTGGCCATGCGGGTAGCAGTGTCTATTTCTACAGCTCTGTCGGGGAGTCCCAGCAGCGGCCCACAGGGGCGCCGTTCAGAACCTTGTTTCTGACCCTCTTTTTCCTGAGCCAAGCCTTTGTAGGGGAGCCTACCACACCCGTGAGCCCGCAGCGGTCCGCTGGAGCTTGTCAGCTTGCAATAATGGCCGCACACAAGGTGGCAACACAGCTGCATGTGCTGGGAAAGGGGGAGGGGTCCACCGTGAGACCCCCCACCCCAGGTGGAAGGGATCTAGAGAATTGAACAGAGAATTGTTAACGGACCTACAGAATTCCACAGCAGGGCGATAGACAGCTAGGATGGTTTAACCCCCCCGGACCCCCGAGAGGATCTCACGCTGTTAGGTTCTGTAGCATTTAGAGTCGTTTCTGTAGCCCCCTGTTGTGTTTTCCTCTGTTCACTTTCTAGAGGGCTTGGCCACAGGGTCCTTTTCAGAGAAGGGACGGGAAGGAAAGCGTTAATTGCGCTCGCTTGCCTTTACCTGCGGCTCGTACTTCTCCACCGTGGCTAAGTGGGATGAGCTGTCATATCCCCCCACAGCGTAGAGATTGCCATCTGCAAAACACCGTCATGCACAGAGTCAGCCGCAGAGCCCTCCATGAGGGCCGTGTTACCGGCCGGGATGGATCCCGGCCTTACGTGCCGCGGGTCTGGGCAGCCAGGAACGCAAGGGAGCGGCAGAGCAGCCGACAGGCAAACCTACACCAAGCAGCAGGACCCACCCCGGGGAGAATGTGCTCACAGAGCAGCTCATGCAGCTTCCCCTCCTCCCCCGCCAAGCCTCCGCTGTATGGGGGCCGCATCTGGCGCGGGGAGTCGTTAAATATTCATCAAGCTCTCCTGCGCAGCGAGGGCTCCGTGCCGAGAGAGCAGCCTGGGGAGCTTGCTCGCCTGCAGCCGCCCCCGACCGGCTCGTTACGGGCCGTGCGAGCGCTTCCCGCCGCCACAATTAAGCTTTATTTTTAGCCAGCGAGGCAGCGGCGGCAGGAGCAGCACGTTGCCGCGGGGGCTGATCCATAACGCAGCGCCAGGCAGAGAGCACACCACGGGGGGAGAAGGAGCGAGCGCGAGCGAAGGAACCACTGAGTCAGCACGGAGTAAGCGAAAGAGCAGAGACGAGAGGGGATTAATGTACGTGCAGCACAGAACCCAGCACAGCGAGGAGCTGCTCCCGCAGCTGGTGCCATTGGCAGCACTGACACGCGCCATGGTGAATGCGCCGGGCCAATTAGAGACTGATTTGTGCACGGGTGATTATCACCACCCAGCTCTCCCTGTACGGCGGTGCTCTCTGTTTATCCACAGAATAACCCGTAGCTCTTACATAGATCATCCCTAGCTCTCAAAGCGCTTTACAAAGGAGGACAGTATGGGATTATCCCCATTTCACAGATGGGGAATACTGAGGCACGGAGCGGTGAAGTGACTTGCCCAAGGTCACCCAGCAGGCCAGTGACAGAGCTGGGAATAATACCGTGGTCTCCCAAGCTCAGTCCAATGCTCCATCCTCTAGGTCAGTGGTTCTAAAAAATTATTTGATCTTTGTGTCTGTCATCGTTTATGCTCTCCCCTTCCCCCCCGCCACACAGGTACATCACTTGAATCAGTTTCAGCGTCTCATTCCAGATTTATTTTTTCTGTTGCACAAACGAGCCAACGAGCCAGTGTATCGAGAGCAAAAGCAAAATGGCCATTGTGGTCCGGGCGTCCAATGAAGGGTGTAACAAACGGATTAACGTATAGATGACAACACCTTCGTATAATGCTAGGCAAGCGTCACAGAAATCCGTCAAAATGCGCAGCGCCAGCTGAGGACGCGACACGTCTGGAGGAATCGGCATTGCTAGTTATTCGTTGCTGGGGGTAAGGTGTGCGCAGGAAGTTTCTTTTTCCTAAAACTTCTCACCCCCCCCCCACCCAAAATATGTTCTGCGCCTAGAGTGTGAGAACCTCTGCTACTTGGCCAGTGTTTCTCAACCACCAGTCTGTGGACCGGCGCTGGTCCTGGAGATCTTTCTGACCGTTTAGGAAGGCAACAAGCTGGTCCCTGGTATCACAAAGATTGAGAAACACGGCTTTAGGGCACACTGCCTCCCCACTGCCAGCTTCCCACATGGAGTGGTCCCCTCAGGAAGCGAGGGGAACCAGCTGTGACCACACGTCATTCCACACGGGTCACTGGCCAGCTGCCGGACTTCCCAGGCAGGATTGCTCTGTCCTAGAGGTGAAGCAAGGGGGGCTGGGGTCCAGAGTGAAAGTCAGAGACAGGGCTGCATCCCCGATTGTGATGGGTTCTCTGGGTGACCCTGGGAAGTCATTTCCCCCAACCCCTGGATGCCTCAGTTTCCTCATCCATCAAATAGCGATTGTGATGCTGGTCTGCTTTTGCAAAGCGCTCAAATCTACGCTAGGCATGTGCAAAATGTTGGTACTTTTGACCTTGTGGGGAAAGGCCCAGCATCCCATTACAAGGCTCAGCGTGCGTATAGGGAGACATTTCAATGGAAAGGTACATATGATATCAGGCCACTGTTGTTATGTTATTTTGACCACTAAAAGCCAGCCGGATCCGGACGAGGATTATTATTAAATCTCTCTAATAAATTTGTTAGTCTCTAAGGTGCCACAAGTACTCCTGTTCTTCTTTTTTAGATCAACGATGCACCCACTCCCTGTCGGGTCATCAAGCTGCTGAGAATTTTGCTGCTCTAGAAAAATCTGCGTTTTCCTAGGCTGCAGGGAGTGTTTTTGACAAAAACCTTCCAAACACAGCCAGTTACGGGTCTTTGCACCAAATGTTATTTTAAAGAGAACAATGCTACTCGCATTCAGTTGGGCCATCTGGTTTGGGCTATGCCATTTCACAGCCCCCGCTACACCTCCCCAACTCTCGCCATAGGTTGACACGAAGGCACAGCTCATGGACTCCAATGTTTCCAATATCCAGTGTCCCACCTTGAGCCCAGAACCCCGAGGAGGATGCAGAGAGATGGCCTGACTTGGAGCAAAGCTTGCTAAGATCTATAGCCCGTTACCATATTAGAGTAGCACTGACCTAGAGGCCCCAACCAAGAAACCTGTGGTAGTCCAATACATGCAGTAAGAGACAGTCCCTGTCCCAGATCATCTGGTCTGTTTAGCCTATAAGTAAATTAAATGACTTGCCCTCGGTCACACAGGGGGTCTCTGGCAGAGCTGGGAATTGACCCCCTTTCTCCCCCGTCCCGCTGTAGGGCATTAACTCCACCCTCCTTCCTGTGCATGGAGCAGAGCTGCAAACCTGCTCCATTCTGTGCCCGGTAGGCAGTGCCCTTTGGCTCCTGGCGCGTGTGGGTCCCAGCAAAGCGCGCTGGCCTGTCACAGGCAGCAGTCAGAGAGTGGGGCTGCAGCTGATGGGAAGCAACGTGCAGGACTAGGCAGAGGAAGGGGCGAGAGGTGACAGAGCCTGGGAGAGCCAGGCAGATTCCATCGCGCTAGTGCCCTACCTAGTGTTGCCACCCGGACGTATCGCCTCCTGGTGCTCATGGCGGCGATCGAGGTCCAGGTGCCCGTCAGGGGGTCGTACCGCTCGGCGCTGCGGAAGGCAGAGACACAGGAACATTAGCAACACTGGAGGGTCTCTGGGGAAACCCTCTGATGCAGCCCTGAGAGGTGACCAAGGACACCAAGGAGTGAGGCAAAGAGCTGCCATGGATCAGAAACCGGCTCAGGGATGGGAGCCAGAGGGCAGGAACAAAGGGCCGTTTCCCCATCTTGTCACAGGGTTAAGACCAGGGGCCTCCGAGGGGCAGGGCCAGGACCAGTGGGGTTCGCGTCTCCACCAGGGATGGAGAAGAGGGGGTCGTATTTGCAGCGGACACGCCACGTACTTGTCCAGACTGGACGAGGCTGCGCGGAGCTTTAGGAGGACCCAGAGGTGCCAGATGAATGGGCCGATGGAGTTCACAGGCCAAAGGGCAGGTTGGTCTTTCCTGGAGGGCCAGGGAACTAGGATGGGGTCAGGATTAGAGCCACCCACACAGGACCCTGCTGCGAATGGA